TATTTTGCTTTTTTAAAGTAATTCTTTAATGTTTGATGATGATCCACAATGCTGGAGAGGTGGAAATTGATGAGTTTAGAAGGTAATTTGAATGATATGTCTTCTGTCATTTATTTGGAATCTTACTTTGGCTTGCTCTACATTTTCCTTCTTTCATTTTTTTTTTTTTTTCCTTTGGTTGTATCTGTTGCTTTTAAGGTAGAAGAATTAGAAAAAGAAATTAAGGTGTTGGACTATGGCTACTGAATTAACAAGAGTTTAGTAATGGGTTTATTGTCTTATCAAGCAAAAAGTGTGAGCTTAAGCTAAATAAACCTATGTAACTATTATAGTATATCAACTAAACGGTTCTAATATATCTGAAGCCTATTTTTTAATTAAATTTGATCTGCAGTTCATGTCTGTATCTAGAGCCAAATGAGCACCATTGTCATGAACCATCATAATTTAGAAAATTTCCCAGATTCTTTTTATTTATTTATTTCTTGCATGTGCTTATTAAGGTAGAAATATTTGCACTGCATAGATACAGTAATTATGATGATTGCTTTCAGTGATTCATATTTTTGATTTGAGCTCTTCGTTTGTGGATCTTCATTACTTTAACTTCTGACTAAGGGGACATTTATTTCTTTTTATTTTCCAAAAACCTTTGGTTGTTTTGGTTATTATAATTTTTATATATATTTTCTCAGGTGGTTACTTTATATTATTTTTCCTTCTATTAATTGTGTGTTTATCTTCTTTCATCAAACAATTGAGCATTATGTGTGAGTTCTTAGGTAGTAGCAAATCACCGTAACTAAATTTCATGACACTGAAACAATACCCCCTATCAGGAATCATGACAAACCTTCTCATTGTTAGAAACACGTATCCAGTGGTATCTGTAATCAATTAATTGGTTGCATGAATATTTAAATCCCCTCTTGCATGCAGTTCTGTAATTGTCATAGATCATGGACGTCCATAACTGTTTTAATTCTTGGATTAGGGCAAATTCCACACTGCAATGAGGGAGTGGGGGAGGAGGGAAAGCTTGGAGGGAGATGCTATGCCAAGATTATTCCATGACAAATGAAAAAGAGGTGAAAGTTCTTTTTTTTCACTACATGTGCAATTTCCTGAGAAATCAGTTTTTTGACAGTGCTTAATTATGTCTTTAGATCAACTCAACTGATTATCAAACTTTCTCAGAATGTGTTAATGTGCATCTGCATGTTAAATTTCTCCTGTTAAAAAAAATGTTTCCTTCTCTTTTACTGAGTTTTGCACATCAACCATTCATGCAATCAGCTGAACATATTTCTTTACCTATGGAAATGTCGCTAAGCTGCATGCCACTCAAGGGTGGTGCATTTGTATCCTAAGGCACATTCAGCAGCAGGCAAGTGGGATTTTTATTTAAGATGGGAAAGTTTCTGTGTTATTGACTAGAATTCATTCTCTCATTTCTAAGTAGTGTCATTGGTAGCTCAAGAATGGGTATTTATTTGTCGATGAAATATGACTTCTCTTGAGTTCAAGTCAAGGGGCAGCTCATGGTTATAACTCATAATGTAAGAGGAGTGCTTCCTAGTTCCAAATATGTTTATGCCATCCTTCAAACAATTATTGAAATTAATTGTTAGGAGTTGGGACCATGTTTGTTAAAAAGCATTTAGGAGCTTAAGATGACTTAGTAACTGTACACAGTACGATACCTCCTATGTAGGAAAAGCCTTTGTTATTAGTTCCATTAGAACTACAGTTTCACTTAATACTTGATTGTCTTCTTATGTAGATGAGTGGAGGAGATCTGGAGTATTAGCATTTTCTGAAGGAGAGAGCATTTTTTTACATGGATTGGCACAACTGAAGGTGGAAAAGGAACTATGTTTGAGGGCTTTTCATACAAACTTTCCCTGCAATTCCCATTGGACTACCCTTTCAAGCCACCTCAAGTCAGGTTTGAAACCATGTGCTTCCATCTGAATGTTGATCAGTTTGGTAATATTTGCCTTGATATTCTTCAGGTATCAAATTAAGCAAGTATATTGGTTTTCAGTTAAACCATTTGCTCTTAACGGCATGAGAATAAGATTGGGAAAAGAAACCTCTACTTCGTTCTGTTATATTCAACTGTTTGAACCTATTGCCTTGATGGATATTGGAATTATAACATATTTTTATTTTTCATAGCATAGCTTTACTACTGAACCAAGGGATCATTGGTAGTGGAATTTTTTTATATAAATGTTTATTAATTAAAGTTCGTTGGATATCTTATGTACTGAAAAACTCATCTTAATGTTTATTAATTGTCTTCTGCTTATGATTGCAAAACCATTCTACCGTCCATTCAAATTCTATAAGATCTGGTTTCTCTTCCTTTCATTTTTAATTCATGACACTGGTAAAATATCCCTCTAAATTTACCAAGAACTCTTCTTGCATGCAAAACTGATCCCAAGGGTACCCTCAACAGCTATGCCGCAAAACAATGGAGCAATAAAGAAGGTTGAAGATTGAACCCTGTCATTTCCCATATCATATTTAATTCTCATTGTTGTTATTTATTGCGTTTGAAGATTAAGTTTCAGATATTAATGTTCCTAGGTTGACAACTGTTTATTGACCTAAACTAAGTATTATGTACTATGTATATGCATTAAACTCTTAAGGAATTTGATTTTTCGAAAAAGAAATGTTGAATTCGTATACCAACCACACAATCTTATTCTTGCACAGAATTGCAACACTCGAACAGTCGAACCTTTTATTATATAATTATTGAAATAAAGCTTAACAGTCATGATTCTTTCTGCTTATTCCATCATGGTTTCCATTTCCTCTTCACAATTACAACACTAGCTACGAGATTGAAAACCTAGGTTAGTTACTTGCTGTTACTACTGCCTAATATGTTCAGCTCATGAGCTGGGAAGGATATCTCTGTGGTTCCCTAAGCTCCCTGAGAATTAGTTCTCTTCAATGCCATTCAAGCGGACTTCCAATGAAAACCCTCTCATCGGTAAGTAGAAATTAGGACATTAGGTGTATGCAAATGAAGAGAGGGCCTGTAGAGGGAGTTGTCCAGTTATTTGTTTGGGGAGTGAAGGGAAGTGGATGCACACTAGAGATGTCAAAAATCTAGAGAGGAAAGTGGAGAGATAGGAATCATCAAATTTTCCTAGAGAGATTCAACTTGCACACAGGGAATGGGGCCTTGAGTGCTACTACATGAAAGAATTTGGCTGGAGCACCGCCTTGGCTAGCTATTTCTATCATCATATTTCCTTCAATGTAAAAGATAGTCATGGTATATGCATTTCTGTTTATGCCATGGCTGTGGAATTTGCTACATTAGTGTATCTTTTATATATCATTCTTCTATTTTGACAAACAATTGGTTAATATGTTTTAAGTATTACTATTATATGTATATTTATTTAACAATCCAAAAATATTACTTAGTTATCTATTGGTATGAACAAATTAGTAACTATATATAGTCCATGTTCACTCTTTTTTAATTTATAAAATTAAGTCAGACTCATGGACATTTTTATTATTTGCCAAAACGAGGAATTTTTTGATAAAAACTTTTAAACCCTAAAAAAAAAAAAAAAAAATCAAATGGAGTGTATGGTGTTTATTATTTAGTGCCATTAGTCGCGCATTCTCTATGCGTATTTGTAGCGTATCAACCATCTAACTTCCATTTATGGATGATAATCAAACGGGAGAAGGATCCATCAGAAAACAACTTCAAATCAACACTTCATGCATTGATCAGACAATGCACCGTTGTGCGTGCAAGTGACAGGACCTTGGGGTGGATCCTTTTGCATCCCTCTCTTTCGGATTTATTTAGTTAGCCACTTCCTAAAAAAAGAATCCGGGGAAGCCCAACCAAACAGGTCTTTAGATTCGGAAAGCCCACCAGTTTGTGTAAAATGACATTATTATCACATTCTCAATTATTAATATTTTATTTTTTTATTTTAATTAATTATTATATTTTTTTAATTTATTAAAAATAAAAAATATAAAATTTTTTAAAAATTATATAAAAATATAATATTAATTATTTAAAATATAACAATAATTTCAGCAGCTTGTGCATATCCTTTTATTTTTGGTGCCCATCAATTATTTATTGAAACTTGAAAATTGAAATGCCCTACAGATATTATGAGATAAATCTGCACATATAATTCCACGTTAGTTTTTTTTTTTTTGGGTAAAAATTCCACGTTAGTTTTAGTTACTCCTTCTCTGCCTTTATTTACCCTCAATTATATGGACCCCGCTCATTTATTCGTCAATTCTACTGTTTCCACTAGAACCATGCATACATACCAACAAATAACAATTCATTTAAGAAAAAAAAAAAAAACCCAACCGACAAGGCTGTGGGGTCACCTCAAAAAAAGTTTTGTCCAATGTAATTATGGTCATGAATTGATTGCCCTCTGTTATTGCACGTGAGTGTCAATCAACTAATAATGCCAAATTCTGAGTAGGCCAGGCTGGAAAGAAATGAATTGCGTCAGAATGAAAATTCAATTCTGAATGCGATACTTTTACAGAGATAAATTGGTACACCATCTGCAAAGGATGGGACGTCCGACACTGGCAGAGGTAGCAGCTCAGCTTTTACTTTTGCTTTTCGCTACCATCAATTGTTTGCTGTGCGTATACTTTAAACCAAGTCTGGACAGAGAAGAATGATTGGTTGAGGTTTCTTTTGAAATTAATATTTGAAAAAGTTGACCAAAAACCAGCTTCACTTGACCTATAAAATTAAAATTTTTA